AGTACCTTTATACTTCCAAGTTACAGCAATTTATTGAAACTCTCTCCAAGAATGTTGCAGTGGGACCATTTTCTAACTCTTTGTGTAATTCCTGATACCTCCATAGGCATTAATGGATACGGGCTTATTTTTTTTTGGGGGGGGGGGTATTCCAAACATTGAGCCATTAGTTTAAAATATTTTAAACCTTTTTAAATTATCATGAATGCAGGATCAAGTTGGGGTGTTTTGTTTATATATTGTGTCTAATATTAATACCTTTCTAATATTTTTAAGATAAGCAACTCAGTTTAGACAGAAATTATTAATCTTGTTAACAGTGAGATTGGATACTGCTTTGCTACTGCTATACCCAGTGTGGGTCACTGCCTAAAAGCATAAATCTGTAGTTGGACCAATGATACTTCCTGATAGGATAACACCTGTTTTCGGAATTATGCTACTTAATGAGGTTACGCCAACCTACTACTAAGTTAGATTTCATTGAGACTTAAATTAGTGCTCTACATTCCATGGCAACCAGTGCTGCTGCACTGAGTCTTCTGTGTTTGAAGAGAGAGGAAATACTCTGATTCTGGGGACACGTTTCTACTGCTGTATCTTTGTGTTCTATTACACACAATGTATTGTACTGATTAAGCTAGAAATCCTCGAACAAACACTATTTCTTAAGCATATGTACTTTTCCACTGGGTTTCCGTTGCGTACATGTACAGAGACCGTTGTTTTCCAGGATTAAGGAATGAAGTAATAACTGTAGTTCAGACAGAAACACTTCAACTAGATTTGCAGCCAAGTCCCCAAACGTGCGATGCCAGAAAATAAAACACTTTGGATGTTGGCAGCATACCAACTGTTGTACCAGTACAGCACCCCAAACAGTGATGTCATGGTGGCATTGTATGTTAAGCCTAGAATGCAAGTATAGTTGTGTTTCAATGCTGGAAAACTTCATTCCATTGTCTTTCTTAAAATACATAGGAAACCTGACACAGTCTTTCAGAGAATGTTGCTTTTTTTGTATGTTGTCTCAAGTTTATACAGTCCTTCTGTACCTGATATCAGTAATATTCACTGATTTCCTAAAGGAAATACCTCACTTTGAGCAATCTCTTTTTGTAACCATTAAGTGAGTGGAATTCTGGTGTCTTTGTTACTGATTGTAATGTGCTATAAACTGAACCAAGCCAAGGAACAAAGTAATAATAATGGCTTTTATGGTTTACCATTATAAAACATGCTGATTTTATTTACGATAACAGCTGGTGTTTGTTTATAAAATGATAAAAAGGGTCTCCTTACTTCAGTTATGCACTACTGCTCAGTTTGCCCAGTTTGATTTCTTCCCCCTTTATTGACTGGCTTATTGTAAACAGAATTTTCATTGTGGAGACAAATTAAAAGAGGGGAAATGCAAACAGTTTGGGCTTTCCTTTCACATAAGGTTCATAAATGTTTTGGCGTTAGTATCCTTTGAAACAAGAGCCACAACCACGAGACCTGTATAGATAGACCCCAGACCCTTCTGTTGGGGCTGACAGGGCTTCATATTAATGATAGAATAGGGTGAGTCTGGATCCTAGGTATTATATCCCAGAGAGAGGAGCTGTGCTTTTGACCTCACAGTCACTATTGACAAAGCTTGGTATAGAGATTGGAGTGCTGGACTTGGACAATTCAGATACCCACCATCCCATGAATCTCAGTGGATAACCTGGGGACAGTTCATTTTCTGTTTTCCAGACCAGAGTTGTGGACCTCTTGAAGGAAGGATGGGTATATGAGTGAATAAGAGACTTTTGAAAGATTTAGTAAACATGATGATGAAATCCATTCTTCTTAAAATATGGTCTACAGCTAAAGTTAGTATTAGGTTGTCTGCCCTAGATCTGCAAAATGAACAACCAAAGGGGTCCAGGATATCAGTAAAATGCCAGAAGACACTGCAGCTGCTTAATAACCTCACTGACTAAAAATTGAGTGTCTGGTTAAATGCTTGTTTAATTCTACATTCGTCATCCTAGCAGAAGAAAGGCTAGTGCTACACAGAATAACACCATGCCACTTTTAGCCTAGTACCCAATACACTTTATATCTGCCATGCCTAAATCAGTGGGATGTTTATTATTACAGTTTTGCTGAGGCTGTTCTTTACACCCAAAGAGTCTTCCCTGTTCTCACCACAGCAAATGTGGAGGCATTAACTTCTGGCAAAGGAGTGTTCACACAGGAGTTCCATGTGCACTCTGCTCTGCCGGCTGCTGTGTCAGCAGAAGGGTTTCTCTGGCTTTTAAAAATCTGTCATTGCTGTTCCATTTAGTGCAATAATACTCTATTGCTGAGATCTATCCCTCTGCCTTATAGTTCCACATGAAAAGGGCTAGACTAACTTTAAAAAATGAGAACTGGGGATTGAGAAGAACCAGCAGGTGGTGGCAGTAGATCTACTCTGTATCTAGTACTGAGAGTCATCTTGTATTCCAGACTCATTGCGTTCATTCTCAAGCAGGGGGGTGGGATTTGTATGTGCACACCAAAGGGGGGAGGTCTGCAGGACCTGCAGTCTTTTTTGTGTGCTTCACTCACTTGGCCACCCACTGGCTGGCCACCCCGTCTGTGTACCAGTAAAGATGCTGGCAATGGCTGACTGGCTCACAGGGCAGTTTCTAGCTGCACTGCCACCTCTTCTTGCCTGGCACATGCAGTGGCAGCTCCAGCTCTCGCCCAGCTTAAGTGGCTATGGCTCTTGCTCCTTCGTTCACCCGACCCAAGCTGAAGGGGACACTCCATTAATTTTGCTTACACAAGTGCTGGTAATGTTCCTATCTTTGTGGAGGATTTAATTCCACTCCATTGGGGGGGGGGGTTGTGTTCTTCTGCAAACCCTGGTCTGCAGTAGAATTACCCCCATCTGAACCTGGTCCCATTCTCTGCATCTGTCAATCTGCATTAGAGGCCAGGTTCAGTATAGAGTAGGGGTGCTAAACATGTGACCCGCAGGACAGAACCAGCCCCTGCAGGGATGGTGTCTGGCCCACAAGCAACTGGCTCTCTCCTGCTTCATCCTCCTGGGCTGCTGCTACTACTCCATCACCAAGCCTGTCTTCCCTTCAGTGGATGAGATCTCTTTTTTCTCCTTTGGAGAGGAAGGAAGGGGGGAAGGAGAGAGCATGCGTGCACGCACCAGAGAAAAGCTTCCTCAATCACTTTCTCCTGCTTCATCCTCTGGGGCTACTGCTGTGTCTCCAGGCTTCTCTTACTTCCATTAGATGAGATCTCCTCCTTTGGGGGGGGGGAGCGCATGCATGATAGAGAGTCCCATGGCACCTTTAAGACCAAGAAAGTTTTATTCCAAGTATAAGCTTTTGTGTCTATGTACACTTCTTCAGAGAGAGGGAGGGAGAGAGGGAGATTCTTCCGACAAGTACAATTTACATTAAGATTGCCCGGCTCTGCTGTTTACTTTGAGTCCTGATCACACACATACATGTTAAAAAAGGAAGGGGGGCAGGAAAGAGATGCATCTGGGATAAGGGGAACTAAAGGGAAATTATTTTGCCTTATTCTGAAAAGGGGTTTTTTTTTAGATTAGATTTCTCTGAGCCTATCTGGGATTTTATTTTCTTTCAAAAGGACCCTGATTAGGAATTACAACACTGGAAGTAGATGGCTAGGTATTTAAAAATACATTTATGGTTCCATATATTCCAGTTCAACATGTGGTCTCCCTCCTTCCCCTCCCAGCTCACTGTAGGGTTGCCAGGTCCCCTGGGGAAGCGGGGAAACCCCCGCTCGATGGGTCCACTCCCTGCCGACCCAGGTTGGGCTGCCGAAAGGAACCCCACCCCCAAAACGCCGGGAGCACCTCCGGGTGACGTCATCGCGTCAGACATGTTGCAGGGGGGACACTATCATTCGAGGGAAAACTATGGTTTCCCCTTGAATTATAGTGCCACCCCCCCAACATGCCCGACATGATGATATCACTTCCAGGTGACGTCATCGTGGTGTGCATGCTGTGTGCGCACACACACTGAAGAACTCCCGGGGAGGGCCAGGACTCCCGGGGAGGCTCCAGGTAAAATACGACTTGGCAACCCTAGCTTACTGGCTGCCTTTCTTCACATTAACCACCCCCCTTGCTTTTTAACTGTTTCATTATCGTCACTAGCACTGAGTGGATTTTGTCCAGTCTGAAATCTACATATTATTTCACTGGGAGAGATCCCCCTTTCCAGTTCTAACAGATTTTGTTTAAGGAACCTGACAGCACAGTCTGCAATCTTTTATTAGTGGAAGGGAGCAAGAGTCCAGTAGCACCTTAATGACTAACAAAATTTGTGGCAGGGGAGGAGCTTTCATGAGTCACTGCTCACTTCTTCAGATACAGCTTGAATGTGAGTCCATCTCTCCTTCTGTCTTGGACAGGGAAGAGATTTCAGACGCCAAATGACAGCAAGCATTGGTAATGAGAGAGGAAACCTAGGTCTCAGTTCGGTCCAGGAGTCTGTCCTGGAAGGTTAAAATGTTTTGCCACTGGTTTTTGAATGTTGTGACTCCTAATAGCAGTAAGAAAGAGTAAGAATCCAGTAGCACCTTAAAGACTAACAAAATTTGTGGTAGGTATGAGCTCTCCTGAGTCACTGCTCACATCTTCAGACTTATGTCCATTTATTCTTTGCATCCTCCTGGACTGAATCCTCCTGGAGCAAATTGAGACTTAGGTTTCCAGTCTCATTAATGCCGATATCTGTACACCTACTATTCCCCCCTGCATATCACACCTTATCCAATCAGCATCTGAAATCATTTTTATGAAGTTTATATCTCTGGTACCTCATGTTATATTTTATGGCACACATGGCCCAGCCCGATATGTGTCATTTATGTCAGATCTGGCCCTGGTAAGTTCAACACCTCTGGTAAAGAGAATGTATATTTTTTAAAACCCTCTTGATGTTAGGGTGCAAATTATTGGCTGTGGGAGCTACACAAGGAAAATGGTGCAAGGTGTGGGCAGGGCTTTCTAAAATGTACACATTCCCATCTAAATGGCTTGTAATGTCTTTGGCCTGCATGTTTCCCAGAAAAAAATCGTACTAAACCAGGCTTAAGAGACTGTACCAGGGCTGGGGAAAGCCTTGAAGATAAGATGATGTGGCATGGGTGCTCCAAAAATCACTCCAGTTTGGGAGCTAAAGGAGAGGAAAACCTCCCTATGGATCTGTTCTGGCTGACTGTAGAGGTTGACTGATGCCAACACAACTCAGCTTGGCAGGATCTATAGAAAAAACCAGTTAAAGCGGGCCAGGCCGCATGCACCTGTTTTGGTACCACCAGTACTGAATTAAGTCAGCGTTATACTAGCATCAAAGTCGCTCATCTCCCTGTCAAGTTCCCAGTTCAATCAGTTCTCAAGGACAGCCAGTTGCAGAAAGCTGACACATCTATTGTTTGGACTGAAGCTAAACATGGGAAGGGTACAGATATAGGGGATTCAAGTAAAAGCACTAAAGATCAGGACCCAATCACCCTCCAGTATTTTGCCTGCCAGAAGTAACTGTCAGTTCCCCCCCCCCCTTTCCCACATAGGCATGAAGCCTTGCATATCAAGGAAGTAAGATCACAGATATTTGGCATCCCCGAAGGTGACAAGCTCCAGAGACTCCAAAAGGAGGGAGGGAGCCTCCTCTCTCAATGACAGGTGTGCTGAAAACGGAAAGATGCACCCAGCGCCTGACGCTAACTCAGTGTTGAGCTAAACCTGGCAATGTACCTACTACTTTGAGTAATCACGATTTAAAGGGAATCATCAGTAAGGAATCATGTCTACATCTTACACAAAGGGAAGGGATGGGGACAGTCTTCATCAGCGTAGTCGTAGTACAAATTTCGTCTGCCCAACTTGGTTTTTATATTGGGAATTAAGGATGATAGTTGATTGGTGTTGGGAGCTATGAGAAAGGTTGTTGAAAATGCCACGTATGTTATTGGAACACACAAAAACACCTGGAGGTTTTAGGTTCCTATTTTACTGGGGGGGGGGGAATCAATTACCTAGAATCAGTGTTCCCTCTAAGCTGAGTGAGTGTGAGCCAGCTCACAGTTCTTTAGCCTCCAGCTCATAGGTTTCTGTCTCAGCTCAGGAAGGATGGGGCTCCAGAGCAAATTAATTCATGCAGCAGCCCAATCGCTCGCTCACAACTTGAATGCCAGTAGTAGCTCACAAAGTAGGATTTTTTGCTCACAAGAAGACTCCACAGCTTGGAGGGAACATTGGACGCCGCCCTCGACGGCAGCCCTTTCCTCCAGGGCGGCGGGGCGGGCGCTTCCCCCGGAGGGCCCAGGCCAGGGGTGGCGCCAGGGCTCGTGCGTGGCGCCCGGGAAAGGGCTGCGCGCGCACCCGGCCCTGCTCGGTCTTCAGGAGGCGAAGGGAGCGACGGCTGCATCCGGCCCTACCTGGCCCGGCGGCCCAAGCTGCAGGTGAGCCACACACACCCCCCATGGCCCGCCTCGGGGGAGAGCCAGGCTCCCTCCTCTCAGCCGTGGAGTCTTCTCGTGAGCAAAACATCCTCCTTGGTGGGCTCCCGGCATTAAAGGGGTGAGCCGGAGATTTGGCCGCTGCATCAATTAGCTTGCTCTGGAGCAAGGCGCCCTCTGAGCTGCGGAGTCCTGTGAGCAAAAATCCTTCTTTGTGAGCCGCTGGCATTAAAGTTGTGAGCGAGGCATTCGGCTATACTGCGTCAATCAGTTGGCTCTGGAGCCCCCTCCTTCCTGAGCCAAGACAAAAATGTGTGAGCCGGAGGCTAAAAAACTGTGAGCTGGCTCACACTCACTCAGCTTAGAGGGGACACTGCTCTGGAGCCCCCTCCTTCCTGAGCTGGGACAAAAATCTGTGAGCTGGAGGCTAAAAGACTGTGGGCTGGCTCACACTCACTCAGCTTAGAGGGGAACACTGCTCTGGAGCCCCCTCCTTCCTGAGCTGGGACAAAAATGTCTGAGCCGGAGGCTAAAAGACTGTGGGCTGGCTCACGCCGACTCGGCTTAGAGGGAACACTGGGAGAGAGTTCCACCAGGTTGCGGACAGGCGGAGGTCTTTGGGGCCAGGAGGGGCCAGCAGCAGACGGCTGCCTGCAAAGCACAACGCCTTCCCGGGCACATCATGGAGGAGATGGCCCCTGCACTGCATCGGTCCCTGGCCACTTAAGGCCTTATAGGCAGATAGGTAAAGGTAAAGGGGTTCCCTTGCTTGAAAGCCAGTCGTCCAACTCTAGGGTTGCGGTGCTCATCTCCCTTTCCAAGCCGAAGAGCCAGCGCTGTCCAAAGACGTTCCCGTGGTCATGTGGCCGGCATGACTAGACACCAAGGCGCACGGAACACTGTTCCCTTCCCACCAAAGTGGTCTAATGGTTCCCTTGCTCAAAAGCCAGTCGAGTCCGACTCTAGGGTTGCGGTGCTCATCTCTGTTTCAAAGCCGAAGAGCCAGCGCTGTCCGAAGACGTTTCCGTGGTCATGTGCCCAGCATGACTAAACATCAAGGCGCACGGAACGCTGTTACCTTCCCACCGAAGTGGTACCTATTTATCTACTTGCAATGTCTTGCTTTCGAACGGCTAGGTTGGCAGGAGCTGGAGCTAGAGACGGGAGCTCACTCCGTCATGTGGCACACTCGGGTCTCAAACTGCTGAACTACTGACCCTCCACAGCCTGCAGTTCAGCCTCTTAACCACTTGAGCCACCGCAGCTCAAGTATTAAAGGTAAAGGTTCCCTTGCTCGAAAGCCAGTCAAGTCCGACTCTAGGGTTGCAGTGCTCATCTCCGTTTCAAAGCCGAAGAGCCAGCGCTGTCCGAAGACGTTTCCGTGGTCTTGTGGCCGGCATGACTAAACACCAAGGCACCAAGGAATGCTGTTACCTTCCCACCGAAGTGGCTGACTCGGGATTTCACTGGGAGCCAGCGTAGCTGGTGCAGCACCGGATATAGATTTGCCATCCATGACGTCCCCATCAGGGCTCGCACCACAACATTCTGGACCACTTGGAGCTTCCGGGTCTGTTTCAAGGGCAGGCCAGCTGGAGCGAGTTACAGTAGTCTAACCTGGAGGTGACCATTGCGTGAATTACCGTGGCTAGACCAGAGCGGGAAAGGAAAGGGGCCAGTTGCCGAGCTTGGTTAGATGAAAGAGCGCCGGCTTGCCGTTCGTTGGACCGAGATCTGAGAGAGCCGAGTTCAAATCCCCACACTGCCATGGAAGCTACCCAGGTGGCCTCGGCTCCATCACACTCGGCCTCGTATTGTTAACTTTTTCTTTTGCATGTGAGCTCCCTTAAGCAGGGCTCTGCTTAGCAGGCACAGAAGTAATCTACTTCACAGAGTTGTTGTGAGGATAAAACTGAGAATGTTGTAAGCCACATTGGGGAGAAAAGTAGCGTGTAAATGAAGTAAAATAAATAAAACACAGCGAGACAGTAGAACGCTTCTTGTTCTTTCTCAGCAGCCTGATTGTGCCTTCTGCCTGGTCACGTCCTCTGGTGATATTTGACATGTGGGCCGCCTGGGAGAGACACACGGCACAATGGCTTCCATGCCTGTGCTTTTGGTTTGACTGTTTCCCAGGCAGGACTGGTACCAGGGTGTGTGTGTGTGTGTAGTGATGTTGTGCGTGTACACAGACACAATATCTCTCAAGCATTGTGTGATGAAAGCACACAGAAGCTGCCACAATGCCACCTGGGTAAACAAATAACTGATCCCGTGTTAAATAAAATCCATCTGCTGCAGTTATCACAAGGAGAATGTTTTAATTTGGTGTATTTTAATTTGTATGTTAAGTATGTTTTATAACTGTGCATGTTTACGTTTTGGAAGCCAACTTGGGCCACAATGAAAGGCAAGTTTATAAATATTTTAAATCACCAAATGAAGGAATTCATGGCAGTGATGACCAAAATGCCGCCTGTTCATTTTCAGAGCCCAGCAGAGTTCAAGCTGGAAAGAAACATGTCTGTCTCTCTGCAGGCACTCAGAGCTTGCTTCTCTTTTGTTTCAGCTAAGTGTTTACACGACCACACGATCCAACATAGGTACCGAGAATAACATTGATCTGGTTTTGAATGTGGAGAATTTCGATGTTGAATCCAAGTTTGAAAGGTATTATGGATTTATTTATGCCATTTCTGTAAAACGATTCCTTTTATAATTATAAGCGTAGCATCAGTAGTGCATGGCATTGCTTTTGTGCAGCCTGGTGTGTAGTGTACACTGCCAGTCATGCCCAGCAGGCAGAGATCTACTTTTTGTGTCTCTGTGCTTGTTCCCGCACCCTGCATCAAAACCTTGTCCCAAATCTTAATGCCATTTGTCACTGGTGCTGGATGAATTGATAGGCATGGACACCAGCATCCTTCTCCAAGGGTCTGCACATCCCTGCTTTGTTTTTGTTTGTGAGCCGCAATACAGCAAAAAAAGCAGCAACAACTAAGCAGTCACCCTCTGCCCTCGTTTGAAGGTACAGGTACACTCTCACCCCAAAGTAGGCACTTCTAAGTCCCATGGAAGACATCTACTTCCCATACTAGATCAACTTAGCTTCCTTTGACAAACACTGTAAACAATTTGGGAGTTCAGTTGGACCCACAGTTGCCTGCTCTGACCTTAAGTACCTTTTGCCAAGAACATTGAGCCTGAGCTTTCTTCCAGTTTGGAGATGACAGTCTTGGCACACTGGTCCATGTAACTATAATGTGGAGGCTTGGCTGTTGCAAAATGCTCGACATGGGGCTGTCCTTGAAGCCAGCCTGTGCCCACCACACTGTGTCAGAATTCCAAAGATGCCTGTAGGCTCAAAACTGTTGGGGACCCCTGGACTATGTTTTGAGATCCCAACAGGAATACAAAGCAGTTATTTAGGCATTATCCATCTTCATTCTGAACTTTTGTCTTGGTACTTCTGCCAGTAATCCTGGTTGATGTGAAACTGGGACAAGTGTATGATTCCAAAATGTGTTTTTGTTTCTTAGAACTGTGAATGTGTCCGTACCAAAGAAAACACGGAATAATGGGACTTTATATGCGTACATCTTTCTTCACCATGCTGGAATCCTGCCCTGGCATGACGGGAAACAGGTGCATATTGTAAGCCCATTGACTACCTACATGGTCCCTAAACCGGAAGAAATTAATCTTCTCACTGGAGAATCTGTCACCCAGGTGTGTTTTGTTCTTTTTGTTGGTAGATGTGTGGAATTCTGCACTGTTTCTAAGAACAGCTCCCATCCACCTGTAAAAACAGAGCTGGTTCAGTGATTATGTAAGGAGTTTGTTCACCTTAATTAAGCACATTTTGATTGCTGTCTCCCTTGCCTTGAACTCCATGTCTTTAAGAAGATGTGCTTGGCCAAGTATGCATGCTCCCTTTGGCACATGAAAGCAAAACTATCGATGGTTCTTTACCATATTAGTATCCTCACAAGTTGGGGACTATCAGCTTTCTCCCTCACCCCCTTCTGCTGACCTTTCTATTTTCAACTGCCTTCAGTGGTCTTCACCTTCTGGAAGAAGGTGAGGACAGTGCAGTCCTTCCTGTATCGTTTTGCAAGATTTCCCCCCTTCTTAATATACCAACTAATATTATTTTGTGTCCGGGAGGGCCCCAAGATTGCAGAAGCCCCATTTGTGTTGCCCTACAGGCGGACTGGGACCATCAAGTTTGCTGCTAGAAACAGAAATAATGGAGCTTTGAAGCACCTTGTATTTCTGTTTCATTCTCTCTTTAAATGTACAAAAAAATCAGTTTATCAGTTACTTTGCTCCAGATGTTGAGGTTTCCACTGGAGTTTTGCATGGAACATAAGAACATAAGAGACGCCAATGTTGGATCAGGCCAAAGGCCCATCCAGTCCAACACTCTGTCACACAGTGGCCAGAAATACCAGGTGCCATCAGGAGGTCCAGCAGTGGGGCCAGGACACTAGAAGCCCTCCCACTGTTGACCCCCTTCAAGCACCAAGAAGACAGAGCATCACTTGCCCCAGAGCCCCTATCTATACCTTGTGGCTAATAGCCACTGATGGACCTCTGCTCCATATGCCTATCTAAGTCCCTTTTGAAGGAGGCCCTGAAGAGAAAGTGAAGTATGAGAGTTCTGCTGATTGAGGCAAAGTCTGCTGACCCTAATCCTTCTGCTGCTAGGAAAAAGCAGCAAAGGAAGGAAGTTAATCATGAGACGATGATGGTTGCCCAGGGAGCATGGGTACCCAGGAGCCAATAGTCCTCAAGCAAGCTTTTTGGAAGGTCGTCTGCTGTAGCTGCCAGAAATGGGATTTCTGAAACTTATTAGATTTTACATTTTCTTGTGTTTGTGTGTGTCTTTTTTGTTTTTATTTATTTATTTCCTGAAAAGCAAATTGAAGCAGAAAGAAAGCAAACTTATGCACTAGATGAACCCGTCTCACATTGGAGGTCCAGGTTAACCTTAAATGTCATGGTGGAAGACTTTGTGTTCGATGGCTCTTCTCTCCCGGCGGATGTGCATCGATACATGAAAATGTAAGCGAACAGTGCCCGTGTTTTTTATTGCTGGCCTAATCTCCACACACACGCACACACAGGTATATCGCCTGGGCAAAGAGCAGCCTTTTAACTATGGCAAGATTGCAACTATTGTCAAAGGGAAGGAGATTGGATGAGTGCTGCTTTTAGTAAATGACTTAGTGCTTGAAAACATACTTTAATGGACTTGGGGCTTTGCTGTCAACTGTATCACCCCAATGTAATATTTCTTTGGCTCCAGTGGAGAGCATTGGCCTTGAAGTGACTCATGTTAAGTTTGGGATGCTGTGGATGGATTGTGGACAGTGTAGTTTAGTAGCTAGGATGTTGGGCCATAACTAGGAAGACTCTGGACCAAATCCCCCCCCCCCCCCGGTCCCCTTTGTCAGTCCAGGCCTAACCTACCTCATAGGTTGTGGCAATGGGGGGGAATATGCACTGCCTGAAATTCGGTGGGATAAAAATAAGTAACATTTGCTAGATACTGCGTGTGGGCCATGGACACCTGGTTTCAGATTCCTGGTCAGCCACAAGAAGAGAAGAAGAGAAGAGATTGGATTTATACCCCCGCCCTTCACTGCCCAAAGGTGTCTCAGAGCGGCTCACAAACTCCTTTCCCTTCCCCTCCCCACAACAGACAGACACCCTGTGAGGTAGGTGAGGCTGAGAGAACTCTTGACAGAAACTGCTCTTTTTCAAGAACAGCTGTGCCAGAGCTTGCCCAAGGTCATCCAGCCAGGTGCAAGTGGAGGAGGAGTGGGGAATCAAACCCGGTTCTCCCAGATTAGAGTCTGCGCACTTAACCACGACACCAAACTGACTCTCATCAAACAAGGCTTGATGGGGTAGCGCTGAGTGAAGGGGGCACATGGGGTAACACTGTATGTCCTTCCCTGGATTTCCCGGGATAAAAGTGCAATCTATAAACAGCTGCTTGATTTAATTTTGGGGATTTATTACCCACAGGTTTAGAGAGATGGAGCAGAGAGGCCAGAGGGCCGCCCCGGGAAGCCCCAAGGCCTGATGTATTCGTGTGTGATGTATCTCTTACCAGTTTATTAAAACATTTATATCCCGGCTGTCCTCCAGGTTCGAGGCAGTTTGCAATCATAGTTAAAACCTAAAACCAAAGATGAAATAGCAAATCCTAAATCCCAGCCCCAGAGGGCCCGCAGTGGAACTGGCTGCCTTCTGCTCCTTCGTCCAGTTCTGCTGCTGCTGCGTCATCGTAGGTTTGCCTGTTACAGACACACACCTGAACAGCATACTCAAGATTGCAACAGCACAGACCTTTTGATGCAGTAATTCAGAGTGAGAGGTGTCAGTGATCAGACACTGTTAAATAAACAGAATATTGCAAGAGTGCTGATGTTTTAAGCATGTTTTTATTTTAAGTAAAAAAAAACACCTTTGTGTTTATGTCCTTTATAAAGTTGATGTCAGATCCGGCCCTCGTAACAAATGAGTCCGACACCCCTGCATTAAACTGTTGTTCCTCCAGCCGAAAAAATGAGCTATGGAAAAATATTTCAGTTGATTACAAGTTTGTTTTGTGTACCCCGAAATAGTAAACTCAGTAAATAGAGATGAAGCTGTTTAGCTTTTGAATAACAATGGAACAGTGAATAACAGTGAAAGTACATTTCAGGCCTATAATGTTCACAATGAAATCCATTTTGAAACCTAGGGTTCAGCTTGGCAAGACAGTACATTACCTTCCAATACTGTTTATTGATCAGCTGAGCAACAGAGTGAAAGATTTAATGGTGAGTAACAGAACATCATCTTATATGCTGGATCGTAATCTTTACTTGACTCATAAGGAACAGTCTTATTGCTTCCGCTACAGCAGTTTACCTTGAAAGAGCTTATTTAGAAACAGAATTGGGTAGTTGTTTGAGTTTTCAGAAAGGATAGTGGGCGCCAGTGTTCCCTCTAAGGTGAGTTAGTGTGAGCTAGCTCACAGTTCTTTAGCCTCTGGCTCACACATTTTTGCTTTAGCTCAGGAAGGATGGCTCCAGAGCAAGCCAATTTATGCAGCAGCCAAATCACCCGCTCACAACTTTAATGCCAGTAGCTCACAAAGTAAAATTTTTGCTCACAAGACTCCACAGCTTAGAGGGAACATTGGTGGGCACCACCACAAAATAGCTGTTACGTGGGGCGGCAGAGCCAGTAAAATAATGGCTGCTGTGGGCAAGACATGGACCGATTCCCCACAAGCAGCCATGCCGCCACCACTCTTCTATGTCCCCCGCTTGCATTGGTCGATTTCATACTATTCGCTGGGCCACCGCATCTTGACCCACATCTCCCTCCCCTCGATTTCCTCCACGTCTTCTCAATCCTCAAAAAACAGGATCGAGAAGATGCAGGGGGGGATTGGGGAGAGGTGCGGGTCAAAATGTGGCCGGGCAGCAAATAGTGTGAAACTGACCAATGCAAGTGGGGGAAACGGAAGAGCGCCGGAGGCACAGCTGCTTGTGGGGCATCGGTCGTGCTGTTTGGCTTCCCTCCCGAAAGAGAGGGTTGCTCCCTGCATGACCGCACCCAGAGAAACAATGAAGCAAACCTGGGCAGTGTTCCCTCTAAGCTGAGTTAGTGTGAGCTGGCTCACAGTTTTTGAGCCTCCAGCTCGCTGATTTTTGTCTTACCTCAGGAAAGATGGCTCCAGAGCAAACTAATTTATGCAGTAGCCAAATCCCTCGCTCACAACTTTAATGCCAGTAGCTCACAATGTAGAATTTTTGCTCACAAGACTCCATGGTTTAGAGGGAACATTGGAGCTGGGCGGTGCTTGTGTGGGGCGAGTCCTGTTCTGCTCATCACTCGCTATTCAGCCACGGAAAGCACTCTCGTCTGCTCTCCTGTGCCGTGCCGTTCAAGAGACTTGTATTTTTTTCAAGACTCGGGAAGCAAGTGGGCTGCTCTAGGAGACACGTTGGCGGGCCCCGTGGCATCCATGAGATCGCTGCCTTAAGAGAATGAAGACTTTTCGCTTGCTCCCGGTTGTGCACCTGCAGTTCCAAGCACGGTGCCCTGTGCCCCTGTTTCTCGTCTGGCCGCCCTGCTCCTTCCCAAGGCAGCTCAGGCAGATTGAACTGGACTTTGGATGGAAGTGGGCCAGCCATGCGTCCCGGAAGAGGGTGGGGCTCCGGGTGAGAGGAGGAGCGTTCAGGCCTGCTGTCCTGTGCCTGGCATCGCTTCAGCCAGGCTGGGGACAGACGGGAAGGGAAGTTGAAAGTGCTCCCTTGAGCCTGATGGGATTCTGTCCCACATGCACCGCCGTTGGCCCGGAAAAGAACGTCTGACGTCTTCAGCCACTTTTAAAGCGAGCACTCCAGCTGCCTCTTTAAGGTACCTGGGAGAGTGGAAAGTTTACAAAGGTCACCCCTGATTGGCATCAGTCATGCAGAATGTGGCCCTTTTACAGGTAATTCAGAAGCAAGTAAACAATGTTACCTTTTATTGTTTGGTAGAATTAATCTTGTGATTTTTTTTTTTTTAAATGCAGATAATAAACCGTTCAACAACAGAGCTGCCGCTTACAGTGTCGTATGATAAAATATCCCTGGGAAAGCTCCGATTTTGGATCCATATGCAAGATGCTGTGTATTCTCTGCAGCAGTTTGGTAAGCCCCCCGCCGCCACCGGGCTGAGAGCGTGGAAACAGGGACCAAGTCCACACGTGTAGCAGATGTGGTGACTGGAATCTTCTTCCACAGAAAAATGGGGGGGGGAGATGGTTGGGAGACAAGTTCTGGCCTCGCATCTGCCCTCAGAAAAGTTTTTCACCAGTCAGTTAAGTTTCCCCCACCAGCCTTCTGCAGTGCCCACGATGGGCATGGTTCAGAGGCAGCGGGTGTCTTCCCCAGTTTCTTCCGCAGGTGGTTGATTGTGCTCGGCCTGTGTCTCACGTACATCATATGTACATAACGGATATATGTGTTAAGTGCCGTCAAGTGGCTTCTGACTGGACACAACCGAAAGTGTCCCCTGGTTCACAGCCTTGCTCTGGTCTTGCAAAGGGCTTCCTTGACGGAGCCGGTCTGTCTTCTTCTCTTCCGGCTGCCTTCCGCTTTCCCTGGCACTGTTGTTTCTCGACAACGTACATAAATGCACAGAGCTGCTGTATACTGAACCAGGCCTCAGGTCCGTCAGTGGCCTGCCTTCTCTGCTCAGCCCGGCGGTGGCGCTCCAGGGCCCCAGGTCTTTTCCATCACCGACTCCCTGATCTTTAACTGGCGATGCCTGAGATTGAACCTGGGACTCTCCGCTTGCCAAGCAGCTGTCCTGCCACTGAATCGTGGCCCCCTTCCCATCTTAGCCAGCCCGTAATGCATTTAATGGAGCTGCGGTGGCTCAAGTGGTTAAGATGCTGAACTGCAGGCTGTGGAAGGTCGGTAGTTCAGCAGTTCGAGACCCGGGTGCCGCATGACGGAGTGAGCTTCCGTCTCTAGTTCCAGCTCCTGCCAACCTAGCAGTTCGAAAGCAAGAAATTGCAAGTAGATAAATAGGGACCACTTCGGTGGGAAGGTAACAGCATTCCTTGCACCTTGGGGTTGAGTCATGCCGGCCACATGACCACGGGAACGTCTTCGGACAGCGCTGGCTCTTCGGCTTTGAAACGGAGATGAGCACCGCAACCCTAGAGTCGGATTCGACTGGCTTTCGAGCAAGGGAACCTTTACCTTTTTAATGCATTTAATAAATAACACAGGGTTTTGTATGGCATTTTTCTATTCTGTCGCATAATACCTTGAAAGTTCCGAATATGTTCTCGGTAAAAGGTCATGGCTTGCTGCTGCTGAGCTTTCCTATAAAGTTCCAAAGACTTTCTGCCTCATTGATGGTCCCTCCCCTAACACATTAGTACCCTTCCAGCAATTAACATGTATCAGCTCTTAATTGCCATTTCATTTCTGCGTGGTGCAATTAATTGATGATACGAGATAATTGTAATATTCCCTTAATACTTAACCGACCTGAAAATGTAAAGAGAGAGAAAATGCTTGTATTCACAATTTCAGATCTGAGCCGCTTAGAGTTCTAGGAAACCTGCTTCAGCTTTCTGGTAACCCCTGTGCTGCCTTACTCTTTATTATAGGCTTCTCGGAAAAAGATGCTGACGAAGTAAAGGGAATTTTTGTGGACACCAACCTCTACCTTCTTGCTCTGACATTCTTTGTGGCAGCATTCCACGTAAGTGGTCTATGTACACCTCGGCATTTGCTGTTTAGGATGTCAAATCTCTGAATCTGTTCCTGTGTAGAACACAACTGATGTGTGTGCATTTTATCATCAGACGTACTTGCCTGTCTGGGCCAAGCTGAACTAAGTTTGCTGTTGGCTCAGAGGGACTGGGCTGGCTGGCAACATTTGACAAGCGACTGTGACAATTCTCAGAGATCACCGGATGTTTTGGAGAGACCCCCCGGGCACCCTCGGTGGGTCCTCTCAGGCAGCCGACTGGACGACGGGGCAGCTGACTGATGCTGGCCGCCCTGAATCAATCAAGGACTGGCTGGGTTCTGGGACGGCCCTGAGAAGCTGGGGGCTCTCTGCGGGTGGGCGGGTGGCCCCAGCAATTTAGCTCCTGTGAAGAACTGAGCTGGCACCTGGAGTTGGAAGCTGGGTGGGCTTACTATCGATATGCCCTCTGAGCTGCGGAGTCTTGTGAGCAAGAATTCTACTTTGTGAGCTCCTGGCATTCAAGTGGTGAGCGAGCGGTTTGGCTCCTGCATAAATTAGTTTGCTCTGGAGCCACATCCTGCCTGAGCTGAAGTCACAGCCTCCTCGCAGGCTACAGACATGGTGTCTTCCATGGCAGCACTGGATCAGGTCCCACACTTCAAGCAGGCCACACACTAGGTTTGATCTTTGCTATGGGGATAGATGGGGGATAGATGGGAGTGTGGTTGTGATAGATACCGTGCCGTGGCTGGACCACTTTGCCCTGAAGGCCCGCTTGGGCATCCCAGCCCCTCCCTCCAAATGGGGGTGAGCAGATTTATGCTTGCCCCGTGGGGACTAATGGACCCAGTTGGGTTCCAGAATGCTCTGCGGGATCAGATTCCCCTTGGTGACTCACTGGATGAGCTGATAGATGATTATCATAGACATGGGACGGAGACTGTACTGGTCGCCCTCACGGACGAGCTCCGGAGGCACCTGAATCGAGGCGGGTTGGCAGTGCTGCTGTTGTTAGACCTGTCGGCAGCGTTCCACACAGTCGGCCATCAGCTACTGATCCACCGTCTTGCTGACTCTGGAGTTCAGGGGCTTGCCTTGCAATGGCTCAGTTTCTTCCTTCAGGGTTGGGGACAAAGGGTGGCACTAGGGGAACAACTGGTTTGCGGAGTGCCTCAAGGGGCAGTACTTTCCCCGATGCTGTTTAACATCTACATGCGCCCCTTGCCCAGATTGAGCAGGGAGTTGGACTAGATGGCCTGTATGGCCCCTTCCAATCCTGTAATTCTATGATTCTACTCTGTGATCCATGCAATGGTCACCTTCAGGCTAGATTACTGTAACTCGCTCTGTGTAAGGATACCCTAGAGACTGGCCCGGAAACTGCAACTGGTCCAGAATGCAGCTGCACATGTTCTTACGGGGACTTCTTTTAGAGCCCATATGCAACCGGTGCTCCTCTAGCTGCACTGGCTCCACGTCGAACACCGGATCAGAGTCAAGGTTTTGATGCTAACCTTCAAAGCCCTAAACAGTCTGGGACCAGCATACCTTCGGGACCGCCTCTCCTGGCACATCCCCCAAAGACCGTTACGCTCAAGTGACAAAAACTTACTGGTGGGCTCCGGCATAAAGAGTGTCCAGCTGTCCTCAAACAGAGCCAGGGCCCTTTTGGTGGAACCCTCTTCCAGCTGAGATCTGGGCCCTGCGGGATCTAATGCAATTCCACGGTGCCTGTAAAGGGAGTTGTTCCACCAGGACTATGGTTGAGGGCAGCGACGGTTCTCCAACTCTGATGGGCCTCCTTCCTCCTGCTTCCTTCCCCTTTCTTCAAGTCTAGACCAACATTAAGCGATATACCCCCCCCTCCCTGGGATTTTACACCATCTTTTAACGTTACGGTTGATTGTATTTTTGTGATATTTATGTTATTTATTATATTTAGATGTAATAAGGTTTTAATTGTATAATGTTTTATATGATGTTACCTGCCCTGAGCTGTGTTCTGCAGGGGAGGGTGGGCTATAAGTCTAATGCAGTAAATAAATAAATGTTAAATCAAGGTTTGGAAATGAGTGTGAAAACTAAGACTCACTTAAAGGCAGCCAGGCAGGACACTCTTGTGAAGTTGTCTTCTTTGGGGCTGCTGGTGGGCCTCAAACGTAGACCTGGTCAGGTGAGCTCGCCACTTCTGTGGATTTAACTTTTTAGGCTGTTCTTGGTGCGATTACAGTTGTCCTGCATGCGTCTGATGACAGCTCTGAGTTAATGCTGCAAAACTGTGTTTGATGTTTGCAGCTTCTCTTTGACTTCCTCGCGTTCAAAAATGACATCAGCTTTTGGACCAAAAAGAAAACTATGATTGGCATGTCTACGAAAGCAGGTATGCTGCACGTTTACATTTTCTAGAATAACTTTTTGTTGTTGCCAGGGCCCAAGGAAGTGTGCAGTAATAAAAATGCAGCTGTGACCAATGTTCCCTCTAAGCTGTGGAGTCTTGTGAGCAAAAATTCTACTTTGTGAGCTACTGGCATTAAAGTTGTGAGCCAGCGATTTGGCTACTGCATTAAATTAGTCTGCTCTGGAGCCCTCCTTCCTGAGCTAAGACAAAAATGTATGAGCTGGAGGCTAAAAAACTGAGAGCCAGCTCACACTAACTCAGCTTAGAGGGAGCACTGGCTGTGACCGTTGTAAATATTGGGCTGGGTTCAGAATACATCAGTCGAGTGGAGCTTGCACAGAGGCAGTCTTCTGCCTCCTGAGAGTCACGTCTGGGTTTGCGGGGGGAGGGGCTTGGCGAAAAGCCATATTCCTGACCGTTTGCATGGGTTAACTGATTAAGGAGATAAAGATTTATCTATAGTGGAACCATAACTGCTAAGAAATACTTGTTTATGTACTATTTCTTTTTCTCTTTCTTGAATTTATATACAAAAATATCTTGACTGTTTGCTTGGTTTAATTGGTCAATGAGATAAAGATCTATTTAAAGTGGAACACTAACTGCTGAGAAATACCTGTTCATATATTATTTATTTGTTCTTTCTTTTCTTTGAACTTACATTGACATTTGAAAAATGATTGACTAAAATATAATCTGTGGTTACAAATATTGACTATCTTTAGTGTCTCAATTGATTAGTGAAACTTATAAGTAAGGGTTGGTCTGTGTGAAACAACATGTTTGGGATATCTGTAATATTTTAACTGATGGCTGATAAGCAAACTGCCGTATAATTTTTTTTTATCAGAGTGAGCTTTGCAGAGAAAAAGTAAAAGTAATGGGCTGATTACCTAGAGAAGATGTAATGATTTATGTTTAAGTTAGGAAGTATTTTGGAAGTTCATGTCGTTAAAAATATGAAAGAATATCTTTAAGGGACCAGACTGCTATTACATAAGAAATATGTGCCCAAATCAGAACTGTCAAATTGCTGTGAAACACCTGCTTCTTTCCATTTCTATTTTCTATGATTAAAAAATTGATTAATAATAGTGTAGTATAGACAAAATGAGATATAGCAGAGAGGATATAGAAAAATGAACTGTATATTGGGAATAGATTTTTGTTTAATGATATTTGTTGTGTTACAAAATCAAGGGGGAAAAGGGAACTATGTATCTAACGATGTGGTGAGCGAGACAAGGTCTAGATATTTTAAAAATGGATTGCTCTTTTTTGTTTTGTTTTGTGTAATTCTTTAAAAAATTAATAAACCTTGCCCATTTGGGCAAGCAGGGGAAAAAAGCCATATTCCTGTGCCAATGGAAGCTGTTATGCTAGTGGGAGAGTACCTTTAGATCCATTTTGTTTCTAAAATCAGAGATAAAAATAAGGCCAAAGTGCAAGTCACTGATATATATTAAACGGTACTTCCACTGGTAATTGGATCCTGATCTTGTGCTCTTGTTGAAGGAACACTGAAAGGCTAACAGATTCTCCTGAAGAAACTTGTTGGCAAAACACATAAGGAATTTTTGGCTAATAAAATATTTTATTATTCTTTAACTTGCACCATCAGCCTTGGCCTTATTTTTATCTCTCAGTGACTAGTAGGGCCCTTTTATTTTCTCCTTGTTTCTAGAATTAGAACACCCTTAAAAATGACGACAGCAACTTAAAAATGTCCGTTCCCAGATAAAACTTTCAGGTTAAGGATCTTGCAAATCTAAAAAGCTGGTGGAGCACTGCTGATTAGTTTTTCATTTGGCCTCCGAAGTGTATGAGGACATCCCTTCGTGAAGTTCACTCAAGAGGAAGTTACAACGTGGCAGGGCGACGTTGAGGAACTTCCCGCTCTGTGTCCCTGCCATTCAAGTTTCCCAAGGGCACAAAACCTACAGCAGAGCTTCCAGGGCATGTTGTCTCTGCATGAGTCACTGCTCCAGTCAGGCGGCATGTCCAAAACATTTTAAATGCCCTCTGACTTACAGAGGATGGGCTCCCCTCTCTGCAGTTAGATCTCGCTGCCTTTTTATTACCAGGTGTAAGACCTAAGCTGCGGTGGCTCAAGTGGTTAAGACGCTGAACTGCAAGCTGTGGAAGGTCGGTAGTTCAGCAGTTTGAGACCTGAGTTGCCGCATGACGGAGTGAGCTCCCATCTCTAGTTCCAGCTCCTGCCAACCTAGCAGTTCGAAAGCAAGAAATTGCAAGTAGATAAATAAGGACCACTTCAGTGGGAAGGTAGCAGCGTTCCGTGCGCCTTGGTGTTTAGTCATGCCGGCCACATGACCACGGAAACGTCTTTGGACAGCGCTGGCTCTTTGGCTCTGAAACGGAGATGAGCACCGCAACCCTAGAGTCGGATTCGACTGGCTTTCGAGCAAGGGAGACCTTTACCTTTTTAAGACCTAAGTGCAACTAAGTTTTAACTTGAGGAAGTTAGCGTAGGCGTTCGGCTATCAGAATTCTGTCCAGTTCTGCCTTCCTTGAGCAAACCCTAAATGTTAGTTGTTATTCAGCCGCAAAGGCTGGGCAGTGTCTTCTGGAACCGTCCTTCTCATTTTCCTGTGGTTGTTCCATCTGGGAACTACTGTAAAAACAAGTGAGGGTCTATTGGGAGAACAACACTGTAGAGTTCTCCAAACAGAAATGGCCATCCTTTAACACACACCATGCATTAATGTATTTTCCCCGCTTCCTGCAGTGCTTTGGCGATGCTTCAGCACCGTGGTCATATTTCTTTTCCTCTTGGATGAGCAAACGAGCTTGTTGGTGCTGATTCCAGCAGGTGTCGGGGCACTGATCGAGGTGAGTTGTCGCACATGTCTGCACGCGGCGTGCCGTAAGTTAAGTGCAGGCTGCCTGGCCCTCAGAGCAGTTTACAAAGAATGTGTGGGTTTAAGCCAATGCTACCCAGTTGTCTGTAAAACTGGATTGAATCAACACTTTGACTTTTGCAGCAGTGTGTAAGTTGAACTAGTGAGCTAGTTTTATTAGTACTGATGACACCCAAAAGCTAAGTGAAAACCATTCCAACAATCCAGCCAGTTTGGTGTAGTGGTTAAGTGCACGGACTCTAATCTGGGAGAACCGGGTTTGATTCCCCACTCCTCCACTTGCATCTGCTGGATGACCTTGGGCAAGCCATAGTTCTGTCAGAGCTGTTCTCTCAAGAGCAGTTCTGGAAAGAGCTCTCTCACCCCGCCTACCTCCCAGGGTGTCTGTTGTGGGGAGGAGAAGGGAAAGGAGTTTGTAAGCTGCTCTGAGACTCCGAGTGAAGGGCCATGGGGTATAATTCCAATCTCTTCTCTTCTAAGTTAAGCATTGTCAAGGCTGGGGTATACTTTGCATTAATAACGGACTTCTCCACTAAGAAAAGTCTGGTCCTGCAATCTGAATTATTTAATATTATTTATTCATCAAAATTCACTTTGCTATTCTGGTTTTGTTGGTCTTGGGGATGAGCAAGAAGCTCCGTAGGGGCACCAGCGCCCCCAGGGACCCATTGGGCTTCTGAGACTTCCGGGGGGATTGGGCACAGGCCTAAAGACCCCTCAGCTCTTCC